CATTGACTAGAAATTGTATGTGTTTTAAAGCATGTGGGTTTACCAATCTCTGATTTTCTTTGTGGTTTTCAGGATCTTCAAAAGGGGCAGGTTTGGGCAGATGTGAAGACTGATACTAAAACAGGTAATTCATCTTTTATATTCTAAAAGAGGAACACACTTTTATTGACCCCTCTGACAGTATATTATCCATATCACCTATTATCTCATTTAATTCTTCAATAAACCTTTATGAAGCAAGTATTATTTTAGAACATTTAACAGTTCATTCTATAAGCTGCTGTTTATGTTCACAGTGTGTTAAGTTCTTTACTTGTGCTATGTCAGAGCAGTCCCAGTAATAACCTTCTAGCACAGTCCAATAGAACTTTTCCACAAGAATGGAAATGTACTATTTTCACTGTCCTATATGTCCTATATGGTAGACACATGTGGCTTTTGAGTACTTAAAATGTCATTAGTGTGACTGAGGAACTGAAATTAAAATTTTTATTTTAGTCAGTTGAAATTTTAAATAACCACCTGTGGTTACTAATTACTGTGTTGGACAGTGCAGCCTTTGCCAATAATATTACACCATTTCTCAAAGGAAGAACTGGTTCAGAGAAGTTAAGGAAGCTTGTCCAAGTTTGTACAATTTTATAAAAACAAGTGTTTGAACAGAAGACTGTTGTAGGAATGTTAATTTGGCAGTGCATGTGGAATGGATGGAGGGGAAGGAAAAATGTAGTTACAGAGAGAGAGTTGAAGCTCTGACTTGAGAACTGGTAGGAAGAATGGTTGCAAATGACTGGAGGTAGAATAGCACGTGAGGTTACTTTGAGGTCTTGGAAATCTGGATAATCTGGCAAAATGATAATACTGTTTACTGAAACAGAAAAATTACGAACCTTTTTGGGATTTGAGAGAATTTGGTTTGGGCTGTTTGTTCATTCATAAAATATTTATTGAGCAACGCCCTCTGCTGTGCTTAGGTAGAGAAGTGGCGTCCCCATTTTATCCACTTAAAGCACCCTCCTACGTTTTCCTGCTGTGGAGGAGAGGGAGCGGTAAGACATGTGCAAATGCTCAGAGTCCTCTGAGGCCCTGGGCGCTTATTTCAGGTGCAAAGGGATTAGGGGAGGGGTTGTGGGTGGAAAACGGCTTTTGAGCTCGATGTTGAAGACTAGGAAGGATTTGGACATACAAAAGGGATCAAATGAGGAGGCTATCCTTCTAGTAATGGCGTGGACAAAGTGTTTTTGAAAATCCATGTTGCCCAAACACCTAAATGCTGAATAAATTACATATTAGCCCTTTAGATGCAGAGCAGGTCTTATAGGAAAGAAAGGGAAATCTTTGGTGCCAAAAAGTCAAAGACAGAGCTGAGACCGGAGCAGTGAACTAGCAGTGTGTCTCCTTTGGGGGCGTTTGGCTGATCAGAAACAAAGCACAGCTGGGGGTGGGTGATAGGCTCCTCCCCTCGGTCCCCCTTCCCCCCCAAAGTAGAGAGAGAAAGTCATCTCCCTCTGACCTTCCAGCGGGTACTACTTCTGGAGGCACCATTCACGTGGCAGTACCTGAGTTTACTCATGTCAGTGGCACCTGTGTCTCAAGGGATGACTTTTCCATAAAAAGTAAAATGTTTCTATTTGAAATTGTACAACTCATGGCCTTGGACAAGCCCCTCCCCCCAAATTTGGCTAGAACCCTCAAAAATCTTGACCAGCTCAGTGAAGGGAGGAAAAAGACCTTGACAGAGGGAGGTCACCTAGAAACGCTGTTCTCACGCAGCTCCAGGTGGTGGAAGTGAAGGTACCGCCTCAGAACAGACTGCTCACCGGGAACAGAAACTGTAACAGGGAGCAGCACCAGGTGTCAGACCTCGGTTCTCAAGTGCAGCTGAGAAAGGAATTCAGAGCCAAGCAACGCAAACACAAGTGAAGTTTATTTGGAAAGGCTCAGGCCGACAGCATGAGGAAGCAGTGAGCGGCATGAACTCGGAAAACTGGTTACAGAGGCGAAAGACAGGGCTTTGGAGCTTAGGAGACAGAAAGGCAAAGGAAACACGCCTGGGGGAAGGAGAGGGGAAAGAGAGAGAGAGAGAGAGAGAGAGAGAGAGAGAGAGAGAGAGAGAGAGAGAGAGGGAGGGAGGGAGGGAGGGAGGGAGGGAGGGAGGGAGGGAGGGAGGGAGGGAGGGAGGGAGGGAGGGAGGGAGAGAGAGGGAGAGAGGGAGAGAGAGGGAGAGAGAGGAAGAGGAGAGGGATTGAGACAGCCTGCTGGTCCTTTGTCTTAAGGGCTTTTCTCCTGAGGTCTCAGGGAGGACCGCAGTAGAATGTTCTTCAGCTTTCCAGGTGTGTCTCCTGGGGGTTGTGGTCGGTACTGATTGGTCTGCCCCCAGGCAGGGGGGCGTTAGTCATCACAGCTGCTCCTGATGTCAGCGCTGGTCCTTGTTGCCCTGCCTGGCCTTGGTACTTTCTGAGCCTGGAGCGGATACACAGCTGAGGCCTAGATATTCTCTCTCTCTCTTTGGCCAGCGGGCCTGAGGCTTTGTTCCTAAGATGGTTTGATGCGGGTCAGAACCCCGTTGTCTTGAAGGCTTAATGCTGATGGGAGTGGTCCTGCAAGGGCTTGTCTGGGAGTCCTAGGAGGCTTGTCTCCAGCCCCGGTCCTCCTCCAGGGGAATGCCATGTCAGGGAGGGTGACCATGACCTGCGATATGAAAGGTCGGGGGAGGGGGAGTCCTAAGGCCACCCTGGGGGCCAGGTCCACCTGCAGTGCTTGTCCTCCCAGTTCTGCCTGTGGCTGGATCTGCAGGGCTTTCTGCCCGGTGACCTTTTGTAGCAGGGCTCACGGCTCCTGCTCTGCCCACTCTGCTGGCTGTATCAGACCGCAGGGCCCGCCTCGCCCAGAGTCAGGGTTCACACGGACATCCCTGCCTGCGCTGACAAACCTGAAGCCAAGACGTTATGGTGGCCTGGGCTGGTTCTGTGTCAGAGCGCCTAGCAAAAGAAACACAGGCCCTCCCTGCCATGGGGCACCCTCAGCTCAGCCTTGAGGACACTCCCAGGCCAGGTCTTCCTCAAAAACCATAAACCCCCTGTGCAGGGGATGGCAGACCCAGCACATACGGTGCCAGACTCCTACGGATTTTAGATTGCAGTGATCGGAAACAAATTCAAATAACATTTAAAGAGATGGAAGGAGAAAAATGAAAGGTTTTAGAAGTGCTGTAGCTCAAAGTTTATAGAAATTGAGAATTATTGTCCCAGAAACTTATGCTGGGGAATTTAGGGAGGATTTGTCATGATGAAGAAAATTGGTGGAGTGGTAAGGACTGACAATGGAAAAGGACAGGAAAGAAGATTATGGTAATTCAGACAGGAAATTGCTCAAGTCTATAATGGTGGCTTTAAGAACAAAGGAAAAGAAACTTACTCGGCGAGATTTACATACGCATATTTAGCAATAAGTCAGATGACAAGTATGAGTCAAAAATAGCTGAGATTTCATTATTTGGAAAGTTCGAGATGAGAGAGCTGAGCCCTTTGGAGGACGGGTGGAGAGAAGAGTTGTGAGTTTTTGCAAAGTTCCTGGGAAATGCTTAGTTTCAGCCCATTAAACTCTGAGAAGCTACCCCTCCAAACATGCAGTTATTTTCACATGCATATGAGTAATTTCTTACCATTTGGAAGTACTTATATATTTATTATTTAAAAGTAAATGCATGAAGAGACCGTCATGTTTGCTGATTCACATTACTGACTCATTATTTCCCAGCATCCTCCGTCTGGAATGGAAGGGAGAAAGTGGTGATGTGTGCGCTTTGCGTATTTAGGCTCTCTCTTCCCCCCTCGTGTAGGAGCTGGAATATAATGGTGGACAGAACAGTTGGTTCCTGCTCTCACAGAACCTAAAGCTGAGTGAGGAAGATAAGACCAAACCAGCAAGTACCAGATACGTGGTGTGAGTGTCCTGTGGGGAGTGGGGTGGGGGTGGGGGGGAGGGGGTAAGAGGTGCTGTTGGGAACAAGGCAGGACACTCAGCTGAAGGACCGCAGTCCAGGCTTGGAGATGGATGAGTAGGTGCTGACTGGCGGTAGCGGGAGGGAGCCGGGAGGGCACTGCAGTCTACTCATCCAGACAGTACCATGTGCTGGAAGGTCTGAGGGGCCCAAGGGAGCTTGCCACATTCGAAGATCCGGAAGCAGAAGATCCATAGCACAGCGACGGGTGGCAGGACGGAACTGCCTGAGCTGACTCCTGTCTCTGCCTCGCCATGACCTCAGGCAGTTCTCGTAACCTCTATGTCTGTTGTGAGGAGTCAGTGAGGTCATGTATTAGTGTAAAGCGCTTAATAACATTGCGGACTCAGAGTCAACACTGTGTTTGCTTTCGTAATGATGGTGAAGGTGACGAGCAAGAAAGTGGGAGCAAAGAGAGTAGCCAGAGAGGAATACAAAAAGTGAGTAGAGACCAGACAGCACAGGGGCCTCCCAGACTGTGCTGAGGAGGAGGGGTGTTTATAAGGGCATTGGGGGAGACCTGAGAGAGACTGTGGGAGGAGAAGGTGGTCGGATTGGTGTTGTAGAATAGAAGGTCACTCTGGCTTAGGGTGGAGTCTAGATTGGTTGCAGGCCAATCTAGAGGAGGATCATTTAGTAGGTTATGATAACAAGCTGGCCGAGAAGTGAGGGTGGTTGTGGTGGGGCAGTGGCAGTGCAGATGGAGAGAAGACCTAGATTTTAAGGAAATTTCAGAGGTGGGATAAATGGCATTTGGTACTTGATGTGTGGAAAGATGTGTGGAAAGATGGACTTGGCGAGTGGATGACTCTTCGCTTCATTTACTGAGAAGTCCAAGGAGAGTGGGTGTTAGGTGGTGATGGGGGTGGTTTCAGAAGGGAACCAGCTCAGGGTGCTAAGTCCAAGGTTGAGGGAGTGGACAGCGTAAGCAGAAAAGATGTGATTTGTGTGAATAATCTTGTCGGACTTGTGTTCTGCTTCAGGCGACCTGTCTGCGATGTGGTGGTTTCAGCAAGGCCTCAGTTTCCTGCCCTCAGCCCTTGTCATTTGGACGGCTGCTGCTTTCATATTTTCGTACATCACTGCCATCGTTCTGCACCATGTTGACCCTGCTTTGCCTTACATCAGGTCAGTGAAATGTATTCTGTAGGTTACTTCTCATTCATATTTTAGCATCGAAGCCAGATGGTAACGTCAGCATTTTGAAATTCAAATGTTACGTTTGCTTTGCAACTACAAGAGGAACATGACAGGGAAGGATTCTTGGCTCCTCTTCCGTGATGGAGAAATGTGGGGACAGAGGGCTAAGATTCACTTGGGGACTTGCTTGGTGAATTGTGATACTTCAGTGCTTTGTCCTCCAAACCAGTATTCGAAATCGTCCCAGGAGATAGAATTGGAGTTACTCTAACTTAAAATAAAAATGCTGAAGACAACAATAATAATATTGAAAGATCATAGTAATGACAAACATTTGTTGATCTACTTACGTGCAAGGTAATGCCTAAGTATTCTTCAGTCTTAAATAAATGGGTCCTTACAGCCACCCTTTGAGGTGGGGACTGCGACCCCCACGAGAGGAAAGGGGGTCCGTCCGGGAAGGTTAGGTTCCTGTCAGAGGCACAAGGCAGTAAATGACGGAACCGAGAACCAGTTTCACTGGACGGTTTGACTCTGGAGGCCACGCCCTTCCTTCTCAGGACATGTTGCCTACATCTTTCTGACACATTAAGTATCAGCACTTATCGCAAGTATTTTTGAAATTTCAAAATTGCTAATGAAGTACTCAATTTTTTGTATGTCCATAACCCTTCTTTTCAATTATAAAGGTAACGTGTGCTTGTTCTAACACATTAAACAATACCAGTGTGATTATAAAAACACAAAGTTGGCTTCCCTCTTCTAACCTCCCTTGAGTTCCTGCCTCCACACACGTGATGAATGGGCTGGTGGATTGCCTTTCAGAGTTTGGCGTGTTCGGTGTTGGAGTTGTTTTATTTATTTGTTTACCTTCTGAAAAAGTAACCTTTTAAAGGATGATAAACTGAAAGGCTAAATGTATTTTTTATATATACATAAATGGTATGATACAAAGAATATCAACAAATTGGGTGCACTTGGGGAAGATTTACAAAACAAAAAGATATTTTTTATTTAAGGTTCCAGTTCTAGGAATCTGATCAACACCAATGTTTACTGCTCTGCTAGGGGCGCGTGTGGTTGAAGGCAGCGGTTGCCAACCCGTGTCTGTGGACCACTGGTGGTCCGTGAGGTCGAAAAGTTTAAGAATCCAGTTCACACGGTAGTAACTTCAGAAGACACACAGAAAAGATTCATGAGGGTCCCTCAGCGTTTTTAGGACCCTTCGAGAACTTGTCCACTTCCATTTGAAAGAGCTTTCAATAATTTAGAGGCCCCTGGAGTTCTCTCTCAGTTTCAGTTCCCTGATGGTACGGCATGTGATTTCCTGACCCAGAGTCCCCTCGACACTTCCTTTCCTGCCCCTGCCCTTCTGTCTTTTTCTTCTTCTCCCAGTGAACTCTGTATCACTGCCCTGGGGTCTTTCCCCAGCATGAGAACATATTTAAACTCTTAAGCTCCTTTCCTTATATCTAAAACATGATTGTTAAACTGGATCCTTTCTGTTCATAATGTTATGAGCACTTTTTAATGGTGTGTAATCACAAGCGTGGGCAGCCACCAGGGTGGAGGGCTGTGCAGCCTGGGCAGGGGGCAGGCCTGTTTGCATTGGAGGCCAGTCTGTGTCACCGCGTCCCAGAGCCAGGGAAGGAGCCCACACAGCCGGCGGCTTGGACACGGAGGCTTTGGGTGACTTTTGGGGCAATCCGGAACAAGAGCACCATTTGGAACTCAACTGACAATTGTGTGTATTTTTCCTGATTATAAGGATAATGCGTACACATTATTCTTGAAAACTTGAAAGATAGAAGGAACAACAGCAACAACAATACATGATCCCCACTCCTTGGACATGATCAGAGAGGAACAGAAGCTTTTGTATCTGAAGATGCGTTTTGGAGTAGGAAGGAGCAGGCCTTCCAATGTACTTTCCATTAACGCAATCCAGATGCTCACCAGGTCTCCCTGATTCCTTACCAGAAATGACTCTTCATTCCTTTTTCTCTCTTTTTTTAGAATAGTACTTTTTAAAAAATACGTTTTTACTGATTTCAAAGAGGAAGCAAAAGGGAGAGAGAGAAACTTCAATGATGAGAGAGAACCATCAATCGGCTGCCTCTTGTACGCCCCCCATTGGGGATTGAGCCCACAACCAGGGCATGTGCTCTGACCTGAAACAAACCCTAACTTCCTGGTTCATAGGTTGTTACTCAACCACTGAGCCACACTGGCCAGGCTCCATTCCTTTTTTATTCCCATTACATTGTCTTAGTTGAGATCTTTAGTCTCTTTTCTACATACTTCAATTCGAGACCAAAGAGTGTGTCTCTTTAATCTTTACAGTAGTTAGAGGGAGGGGAGAGGAAGTAACATTTAATGGATCTCCTCTGTGCCTGCTACCCTGGTAGGTATTTCACATGCACTTTCAGTTCCTCATGGCCATCCGGTGAGGCAGGGAAGAGGGTAATAGCTCCATTTTGCAGACAACAGGACACATCCAGGGTTCCACAGTATCACCTGGTGGCTGTTCACCTGGATCTGTGTTGCAGTGCATTGCAGCTGGTTGTGACAGAGGTGTGGACGGAATGATGTGAGTCAGCATTCTGCCAGAGGGTTGGTCATAGCCATAGGGAGGTGGGGGCTCAAAACTGGCTTGGAATGGAAGCTCCAGGAAGCCAATGGCTTTGTTTCCTTTACTTACACCATATTCCTGTCCTAACATGCTGTCTGTTATAGGGTAGGTTCTTGATAAAGATTTTTTTTTGATTAATCATGAAATGATTAGCTGTAAATTGAGTTTTAGGTAGAATCAAGAGCAATAACAACCCAGCCAGTGTGGCTCAGTAGAGTGTCAACCTATGAACCAGGAGGTCAGGGTCTGATTCCTGGTCAGGGCACATGCCCAGATTGCAGGCTCATTTCCCAGTAGGGGGCATGCAGGAGGCAGCTGATTGATGATTCTCTCATCATTGATGTTTCTATCTCTCTCTCCCTCTCCCTTCCTCTCTGAAATCTATAAGCATGTACTTTTTTTTTTTTTTTAAACAATAACAAAAGATTTTTGAAAGGATCTGTGATATTAGAGAATATTCAGAGACAAATGATCATACTCCTTGAGTGATAAAAGTCAGTAACAACATTCTTACCATGCTTTTCATTAATTTACATTGATTTCTAGTATGTGAAAAAGTAATTTAAGTGATATGATGAAAAGTGAACTAAACAAATATCGTGAGCTCAAATTGTCATGTCCTTATTTAATTATAAGAGTCGAACCCATAGATTTATGAGAAGATAAAGGACTTGAAGTAACCCCCGTTGTTTCTTATGCCTTAGAAGAAATACACGTATAAATTTAGTGGTAGAAATACACACCTTTTTTTTTTCTTCTTTCAGTGACACCGGTACCGTCGCTCCAGAAAAGTGCCTGTTTGGGGCAATGTTAAATTTCGCCGCAGTTTTATGTAAGTAATGAAAATGGTCTTAATGATGAAAAGTAATAGCCAAATCACCCCTTTCTTCTTTAGACAATCTTGTATTACTTGTTTTACTTTTTTAGTTACTGTACTTGAGGGAATGTTATCACTAAATTATTGAACATAGGTATGTTCCTTTTAAAAGAAAAGCAATTTCTAGAAACGCTGAGTTATGGAAATAAATCTTAAAAAAAAAAAAACTTACAGAGCTTTTAAACTACTCATTCAAATATAAATTGTAAAGTATTGCCAAATATTCCTTGAGGCGTTAAGTGGATCTCTTAAGCAACCAGTAGAGGACAAGAGCTGTCAACACACTGCAACTAACACCTACTACATCCCTTCAGGGTAAGTAATTTCGAAGTTTGAGGATAGCATGGTTTGATTTTTGAACGATAGTCCAATGCCAAAGGAAGTTCTGCTACGGTATTTTACATTCCTATTAATTACTTTTTTTTTTTGAACCAAGTTTTTATTAATGGTTTGCTGAAGTATTGCTTTTTCCACCAATTGCAATTATTTACATTCTTGCATAGAAAGTCAAAAATTAAAGTCAAGTAAATGTTTCAGTGTATGACTTGAATTTTCAAGCACATATCTACAAAAGCCTAGCTCTGCTACGTTTTCTGTACTTTCGTGTTCTTTGGCAATGTTTTTGCAAGGGAAAGTCTGATTTAGCCCTTTCTTGACTAATAAGAAATAAAGGAAGATCTCTGTTTCTGGATAGCAGTGACCTTCTTTATTGGCAACTTTTATTTCTTGGTTATTTATTACCTGTTTTTTGGATTTTCTCTTTCCCAGGCATTGCTACCATCTATGTGCGTTATAAGCAAGTTCAGGCTCTGAATCCCGAAGGGAGATACATCTCCAGGTTAAACAAGGCTGGCCTCATACTTGGATTGCTGAGTTGTGTAGGACTTTCTTTGGTGGCAAATTTCCAGGTTTGTGTTCTAACCAACACAGGTATTTTCCCGAGGTACCTGAATGTACATGTGACCAAGAACACCTGGAGCACCCAGTTACATGCTGCTGTCGTTTCTTTGCCCTGTTCACATAATACAATCCACTGCTTTGAAATTACTTGACCCTCTTAGAAATAGCTGCATTTATTGTTAGAAAATTTTGTTCTCATTACTCTGTTGACTAAATAGAATATATTCTGTCATTTTAAGGATCTATAGGATTTTACTTACTAGACTCTTTATCACTACTTAATTGGAGATTACACCAAGACCAGAGAGAATTGATATAAATTATAAGTGAGAATTACAGATTTAAACTTTTAAAAAAAATATATGCCTGACAAATTACACTCATTTTCTTCTTTGGCATTCTTGTTTAGATGCTCCCATTGATGACATGCATTCCTAGGTGGCCAGCCCTTAGGTGAGGAGGCAGCAGAAGGGTCTGTAGCTCTTTCAGCATTTTCTCAGGAATTTTAAAAATATATTTTATTGAATTTTTACAGAGAAGAAGGGAGAAGGAAAGAGTTAGAAACGAGAGAAAAACATTTATCAGCTGCCTCCTGCACACCTCCCACTGGAGATGTGCCCACAACCAAGGTACATGCCCTGGACTGGAATCAAACCTGGGAACCTTCAGTCCTCAGGCCAACGCTCTATCCACTGAGCCAAACCAGTCAGGGCTCTCAGGAATTCTTAACATTAAAGTACCAGTCAGCTGTCACCAAACATTTGCATACTCCCCACATTTCTTTCAGATAAGGCTTTGGTACTACCAGTTGTATCCTGCGCCTGTGGTGCCTTTTGATTAATCTCTCTACAGCCTTTAAAGTTTCCATTTAGACATTTGATAACTTAGTTAGACATTTAATAGCTAGTCAGACATAAAAACACACATTGTAGCTCAATTGGTAGGAGCATCATTCCTAAACCGTAAGGTCAATTGGCATATATCTCCGTTGCTGGTTCAATTCCCAGTCGGTTGGGGTATTTTCTCCAGTGCTGGCCCAGGCTTGGGCTTGTCTCTGGCCACCTGCTACTTTGCGCACTACTATACCCTTGAGGGATGTCGGACTGCCGCTTTCGGGGGCTGTCAGCCTGGTTTGCGGGGATCGGGCTGAAACTGACAGTCCGACATCCCCCAAGAGGGTTCCAGATTGCGAGAGGGCACAGGCCAGGCTGAGGGACCCCACCCGTGCACGGATTCATGCACTGGGCCTCTAGTGTTAATCAAAACATATGGTAAGTGTACTCAGAGCCAACGTAAAGGAATTTTTCTCTCTAGGTAAAGTTTATCCTCGGGGAAATTTGGAAGTAGGCAGAAATCTATGTTCATTTCCTAGAGCTACCCTAACAAAGCACCACAAACCAGTTTAATATACTTCTATTCTAATTAGAAATAGAATATGCTCCATTTTTATTTTTGCTTTTTAGTTCACAGGATTTTGTTGATAGAACTGTGTACTGACCACAGTGGGCACTGATCCGGCTGGGTCTGTATTTAGCATCATCAGTATAGTGAGAATATTTTTAAGGAGAAAATTTTATCCATTTTCCTGTTCTTAGCCCTATAATAATTAATTTCATTTTTTTAAAAATATATTTTATTGATTTTGTACAGAGAGGAAGGGAGAGAGATAGAGAGTTAGAAACATCGATGAGAGAGAGTCATCGATCAGCTGCCTCTTGCACACCCCCCACTGGGGATATGCCCGCAACCAAGGTACATGCTCTTGACCGGAATCGAACTTGGGACCCTTCAGTCTCCAAGCCGATGCTCTATCCATTGAGCCAAACCAGTCTTGGCTAATTTCATTTTTTACGTACAGTTTTTCAGCCTTAAGCCATAGATATAGAATAAATCCACCTAATTATGAACTAAGAAAATATTACCATTCTGTATTACATTCTGTGGGCGCTGAATGTCATTTTTATCTTTGTTATACAAAGTGGTAATGACAATACATTTTTTCTCTCCTTAGTGCACATAACTTACTGCCAGGTTTAGCACCAAAACCACATTGAAGTCATCCTTTTGCTCCCCAAACGGAAACTAATGACTTTGGCAAATAAGTTGTTATATTTTATTTCTTTATTCTAGAAACTTTCTATATCTTCAGCCTAGAACATTGGCCTCTGTGTTTGTGAATTAGCGCCTGATTGGGAAATGAGGGCACCAGGCCTGACCTGTCTGTTCCCTCAGTCAGACCCTCTGTGCCAAGCGCTGCACTTCTCGACCAGATGAAACGGCATCAGTTTAGAAAAACAGACTGGTATAAAGGGAGACTTTTGACTGTAGAATTCTTAGAGAGCTATTGTCATCATGTTTTAGGCAGAGTGTATTACAGTAAAAAGTAAAATGTAAGAGATACTGGTAAGAAGAGGAAGGTAGCCCTGGATGATGTGGCTCAGTCGGTTGAGTGATGTCTCCTGCACCAAAAGATTGCTGCCAGTTCGGTTCAGTTCCTTGCCAGGGCACATGCCTGGGTTGCAGGCTCCCTCCCTGGTCGGGGGCGTACTCATTTCTAAAGTTTATTATTTATTGTTTGCGCTGCTTCACTTGAATGTCAACCGTGAGGGCCAGATTTTTATTTTTATTTTTACTTTTTTTTACTAATATCAATATATCTGAGTACTAAACAGTGCTGACATAGAAGAGGCACCTAAATAAACAAACATATTAGATGGATAAGTAATTCTATCCCTACTGCCTGTGATAGAATTTGAGTTATTATAATCCACAGGTTTAGGCTGAACATTATGAACAAAAATCGCCTCCAGAAGTAATTTGTACAATCTGCAGGGCTTTTCTACTCTGTGAATGTCCCATTGAAAGTGCTGGCTTGTGACTTAAATACTGTATTGGCAATGTGTGTTCAGTCTCTTTTATTTTCTTCTTTCTGCCTCTCAGAAAACAGCCTTTTTTGCCGTCCACATATGTGGAGCTATTCTCACCTTCGGTATGGGCTCGTTGTATATGTTTGTCCAGACCGCCCTTTCCTACCTGATGCAGCCCAAAATCCACGGCAAGCAGGTCTTCTGGGTCAGACTGCTGCTGGTCATCTGGTGCGGAGTGAGCGCGTTTAGCAGTATCCTTTGCTCTAAGATGTGGCTGCTCTCAGAGGGGAATGAATAACAAAATCTAAGTGAACACTGTTGGCATGCTGTCAGCAGTCCTGTGGACAGTGAGGTTCTTGGAACAGTAACCCCAAATTCTAGGATTTGAAACATGTAATTCAAATTTTACACAGGAACTCAGTAACTAAGCTGGGAACAAAGATAATGTTTAGAGTAATCATGCTCACTTCAGAGATGTTATGATGAGTTAATTATGGAGCAAAAGCTGGTGAAGGAACTGCCCAGTTACTAACAAAGGGGGTTGACGATGCGAGCCACGTCATAGTGCACTCTGGGCATGTTGGGAAGTTTCCCACTGCCGGGTACCAGGAAGTCTTTAAGAAGATGGGTTTGGACCTTGGAAACACATATATGCGTGATCCTCTTGGACCTTTAAAGCCATGTTGTTGTTGTTGTTGTTTTAATTAATTTCTTTGTTGATTAAGGTATCACATATTTGTCCTCAACCCCCCACCCCCTCTCACACCCCCACCCCCGCCATGTTGGTTTTGAATCTAATTTAAACCTACAGCTCCTCTCTGAGAATCTTCCTTGACCGGCCTTCCTCATAGTGCTGACTTGCTCCTCACTCCTGTACAGTGGCCATTTTGGCTCAGATATAGTGCAGAAGCTCCACTGGAACCCCGAGGATAAAGTAAGAACGTAGTCTTAAAAAACAAGGTGTTGTATTAAAGATGACTATTTTGATAGCGTGTTTTTCACTTCATAACTAATGAGAAAACATTTTCAGTAGAAGAATTAGTTACTAAGTTGCATTTAAAGAAATTTCTCTTTAAATGCACAATCTGCTTAATTATTTATTAAGGTTATTTTCAATATATGAAAGGGTTTATGTAGCATCCTCCGTATTCTCCTGTCACCTGTGGTCTGTGAGCATTTTCAAGATATGAAGGAAATTGTGATAGCAAAGAGTTTTGTCAGAAATTGACTCCTCACAATCAGGATATAGTATGCAGTGTACCCAGCTGAGAGCTTTTATTATTAGAATACTTGTTTTCTGAATTGAAAACATGTCTTTGCCCACCTTTTGTTGCCTGGAAGTATATTATTATGGACTCTGCATTTGGATTCAAATATAGTGGATACCTGAATAGAGATAGCAACTTTGATCCCGAGAAAAAAGGAGGAGGGAGATATACTAAATAGATAACATGAGTTCATCTCTTTTCACAAACCTCTCAGTGGCATTTTACTTTAAATTTTTTACCAAGCATCAGTCTTATTAGGACATGTTTATGGAAATGAATGAATAAAATAATTTGCTAGATTTTCTGAAGTATAATCCATAAACTACTTAAAGCTTTAAAAAAGCACTAAGTTTATCATGAGCATTGTTTACTTAAGGGTGTTTGTTTGTTTTATGAATCTTTGGTTTTGGGAAAGGCCAAAATTTCTTGATTCGAGTAGAAGTTCTCTCTTAGTTATTCAAATGGAACTTTATGTACTCTAGATAAAACTGTGATGATAGCTAGATCATTTAAGAGGACTTTTCCAATCCTGCCTTGAATGCTCAAGATATGTTAAAAAAAAAAAAAAGTGAGGGTTTATAAATATTATGGGTTTTTTATTTGACAGAATTTATAGACCATTTGTCCAAAATTTCACAGAATTCTTTTCTTCTTTTTTTTTTTTTTCCCATTGTCACTCAAGGGCTATGTGCTTCACATGATCACTACCGCAGCAGAATGGTCTATGTCATGTTCCTTCTTTGGTTTTTTCCTGACTTACATCCGTGATTTTCAGGTAAGGAGACACAGGATTAGATTTCTGTGGTCAGACTTCCTTCACATGGGGTACGAGAACTTTCTGAAGGCTAGTCTCTAACCTTTCGACATGAACTTCATAAGCAGTGATGGCAGAAGAGGAACTTTTCACAGAATTGTTTCTGTGTTTGCGTAAGTCATGTATTACTGGCAAGATTCGGCTTTGAAATTGGGTTGCAAAACAATCACATTGAGAAATTCTTTGACAGAATTTTCATCCACTCTGCCTCCATGAACGTTGGCCATCCTTAACATTTAGATTTACTGATTCTTCATAGAAATGAAAGAAAAATGAAGATCTGAATAGAGAAACTTGATCTTCTCAGTTCTCAACACTACCAATATCTTTGGCATTTCAATAGCTGTCTCATTCTTCTTACTCATTATAATTGATTTATATTCTAATTCCAAAAGATATTCCTCAGAACATATTGAGGATGTGACTTGTCATTAAGGAGCAAACTTCTGTAAGTATTTTTCTTTTTTTGTTCCAGAAAATTTCTTTGCGGGTGGAAACCAATTTACATGGATTAACCCTCTATGACACTATTCCTTGTCCTATTAACAACGAGCAAACACACCTACTTTCCAGAGATGTATGATGAAAAGATGAAATATTTATTCGATGATTATGATTCTCAGGGATTGGGAAAACATTCATAAGTTACTACTGCTCTGAAATTTTCCACCAATTAATCAAGGCTGACAGTGACATTGATGGGTCCTGATAACCAAGAATCATGAAGTAAGCCATTTTCTAAATTATTTCAAGGGTTATCTTCAAGAGGATCATGTAAAACCATTCTGCCTATACTTTTTTTATTCCCAGGAAATAAAACCAAAGGACGATAGCACTAGGTTTTTCCCCCCTATTTTATTTAAGTGAAACACCAGAAGTGCATTGAGCCATCTGCAGAATCCAGCATTTCACGTTTTAGAAATTATTGGAAAGCATGTTTTGTTTGGAGCACTTATGCAAGACATTTCCCAGGACACCAAGTAATCAGCATTGCTCAGCAGCTCCTTTCAAATTGGATTTTGCGGTAATACTAATACATTTCTTATAGTCTTTAAAAAAATTTTTTTTTTCTGGAATTCACCAATAAAGGGAAGCAGAACTGAATTCATGTACTGTTGGTGCTTAGTTTTGCACGAGAGATGGTAGTGGTATTGGATTGATTCCTGCCACAAGGCCAGATATTATGCTAACTGGTCTGTCACACAGGTTATAATTTCATGAAACTTACTAGTCTCTGATAGGAGATTTTAATCAAAACTGAGAAGCAGCTATAGTTAAATTTACTCCAATCATGTTTTGCATAAAACCAAGGTTAGTGTTCATTCATGAGTCTGAGAACTTTATGAATAACAGCAGATATCAATAATAGTTACCTTAAACTACAGTCAAGAACTTTTTAGATTTTTCTTTATAGCAAATTATAATTACTTGTAAAAGTAGCCTTGATCAGGAAAATATTGAACCTTTTTACTGGGATGTGATGTTTGTAGAAGTCAGATTATAAAGAACAAAATGAGCAACTTGAAAAAACTAGGTATAAAATAATTGTGATACATCTCTGTGGTCATGGCATGTGATTGGACAGCTTATACCAAAATTTCTAGCTATGTAGATAAAGAATGAATTACAGCCTAGCCCGCATAGCTCAGTGGTTGAGGGTTGACCTATGAACCAGGAGGTCCCAGTTCTAGTCCTGGTTCGATTCCCGGTCAGGGCATATGCCCAGGTTGCAGACTCATTGTGAGTCATGCAGGAGGCAGCCAATCAATGATTCTCTTTCATCATCATTGATGTTTCTATCTCGTGTTCCTTCTCCCTTCCTTTCTGAACTCAATAAAAATGTATTTTTTTTAAAAAAAGAATGATTTACAGATTCCAAATAAAATTTGGAAGGAGAAAACGCTCACCTGGAAGATGACACTGACAAATTGGTTTGCAAAAGAATGCTTGAAGAAGATTAACAAGCTTTATCTTTTTATACGAAACGGGTTTACTGCTAGAATAAAAGATGGTGAGAACAAATTTAAACTGTAAGAGAAAGCAATTTAAGGGAAAATGGTTACATGGTGGAAACAGAGCTTCATCATGAATAAGTTGCTAGAGTGGGACTAAATATTTCTAAAGACTTCTGGACTAAGAATAAAATACTGTTTATGCATATCAAGCAGCAATGAAAAGGGGAGACATTTCAATAAACTGATTTATTGGCATCATGTGAAAAAAATATGGGTATAAAGTATAATTTTTATTATATCTCTGCAAATCATAGTGCAACCACACATGGGATACAGCATCCAGTCCTGATTGTTCTATATCAAGAAAACTATAATTCAGTTATGAAGATCACAGTATGGTTAGGGGGAAATTGATAGAATCAAAGTTAATAGAATTATAAGTTATGTGTGGATAAGATGGTACAGAGAAGAATGTAGACTTGTATGTCCATACTGGATTATCAGGCTTAGAGATATATAATACATAGCACATTAAAGGAATTATTTTAAAACAAAAATATTAGTTTGATGGTGTTTTAATTCTTTAACTTTTACTTTTAGAAAACTATAGATCCAATAACTCAGCCTCCACTCTAGGGATATGAAAAAGGAACGGCAGCCCTTTTCTGGAGATAACATTTGTTTTCATGATGACTCTTCTTTTATAAAAATATCCAGCATAAAGTAGGAAATTAGAAGATGTGCAAGGAAGCAGGAAAATTTGATCCAGAGAGGAACATTCAATGAAACAAACTCAGAGATTTCCTAGATGCTACAATTACCAAATGTAGTTAACCATGATAAAAGTGCTGACGGATCTAGTAAAAAGGGTAGAAAACGTGCATCAAAAGATGGGGACTTTCAACAGACATGAGAACTTTGAAAAAGAAGAAAAAATTCTACAGTTGGATATGACAGTTACACATAGAAAAAAGGACCAATAAACGAAGATGAGGCATTTGAAAGTATAAAACTGATATTGACCAATGTCACCCAATAAATTCAATAAGAAAAAAAAAATGGAGGAGAAAAGTGCAAATTAAAATCCAATATATGAGTTTTGAAGGCAAAATCAGATGGCCTTCCATTTTATAATTGAGTTTCAGGAGAGGATAAAGAGAATGAAACAGAAATGCTGGAAGGAATATTGACTGAAAACTTCCAAAACTGATGGTAATGAAGAGAAATTCAAGTGAGTTTTTTAAAAATGATTAAAATGGGTGAACCCTAGCAAGACCTGTACATGAGTTTAATAGTATTCCACCAAAAGTCGTGTTCATCCAGACATTCAAGATGTGATTGTATTTGAAAATAAGAGAATTTGCAGATGGAATTAGTTATGCTGAGCTCATACTAGATCAGGATTAGCCTTAACATTCAATGACTGGTGTCCTTATAAAAAACAAAACAAAACATTGTGACACAAATAGAGAAGACAAAGTGAAGACAGACAGAGATTGGAGAATGTGGCCTCAAGCTAAAGAATGTCAAAGATTGCCAGCAACCAGAAACTAGGAAGGAGTCTCCAATAGCCTATAGAGAAAGCCTTGATTTTGGATTTCTATCTTCCAGAAATGTGAGAATAACTTAGTTGTTTCAGGCCACCCAGTTTATGAGAATGTATTATGACAATCTAGGAAACTTAAAAGACTGATCAAGTAGAAAAGACAAAATACAAATTATTATTACCTGAAATGAAAAGAGGAACATCATTATTTGGCCATTTGACATTGAAGATAATAATAAGAGCATGTTGTGGACAACTTTATGCCAACAAATACAACAACTCAGATGAAATGGACAAATATATCCAAGGTATCTTTGGAAATATACCTTGTCATAAGTGATGCATAAAGAAAAGGTCCAAAAATAGCTTCATATTTATTACAGTATGAAATTTGTAATCTCACACAGAAAGAGGAAGGAAGAAAAAAAGAGGAAGATTTAAATCCTGATTACCTCACAGGTGAAATATTTAAGTTAGAAATAATACCAAGTTCTACACAAATTCAAGAAATAAAGATGAGAACTTTTCAGCTTGTTTTATGAGTCTGGTACACACTAGTAGCACAACTTGATGAATATGAGAAAAGAAAAAGATTCATGTCCTACATGAACACTAATGCAAAAACACTTAATAAAATAGTAAGAAATAGAGCTTAGCAATGGGGTGGGAAATGATATAGTGAGACCAGGTGGAATTTATCCTAGCAATATAATTCATCAGCTTAACATAAAAGAGGAAAATCAGAACAAAAAAATTACAAAAGGGAACACTCGTGATAAAAACTCCCACCAAACCAGAAACAAAAGAGAATCCCACCACAATAATGGACAACTATAAACATCTAATCTCTATCTTTAATGGTTTGATATTAAATCCATTTCTCCTCTAATTTAAAAAAAGGCAAAGATAATCTTTGCCTTCTATTCAGTGTTGCAATAGAAGTCCTACTCAGTATAATAAGGATAAAAAAGAAAGGAAAAAAATGTTTACAAAAACCCTATGCAGTTTAAAAACTAATTTTGGGCCAATAAGTGAGCATAAGGAATTGAAAAAGTAAAGAGACTTGACAAAACCAAAGGAACAAAATGATTATATAATGACTGGCATCCCCCTTCTCCGTCCCCCCACCCCCCGAAAAAAAAACAACAACAACATAAAAACAGATTTACCAGTTACCTGTAAAAGAATTTAAAAGAATTCTTTTTAAAATAGTACATGGACTTTCAAGTTAACACAAACAGCTCAATGAACTCAGGAATTAATACATAAGCAAAATGAAGTTCAACAAAGACATTATTTTTAAAAGAACCAAACAAAAATGTTGAAGCTAAAGTATACAATGAATGTAATGAAAATTTCTATAGAGAGCCTCAACAGCAGACTTAATCAGAAGAAAGAATCTGTGAAGTTGAATCCAGACCTCTTTAAATTATTCCAGTCAGAGCCCTAGCCGTTTTGGTTCAATTGATAGAGCATTGGCCCTTGGACTGAAAGGTCCTGGGTTCAGTTCCTGTTAAGGATACGTACCTGGGTTGTAGGCTCAGTTCTCTGCCCTGGTCATGGGAACTGTGGAGGACAACCAATCATATCTCACATCAATGTTTCTCTTTCATTGTCTCTCCCTGTTCCTCCCACTTTGTAAATATCAATGAAAATATATTCTCAGGAGAAGATTAACAACAAGCACCCAGTCAAAAGAAGAAAAACAAGAATAAACAAAAGATTGAAGATAGTCTACCATATTATGGGACATCATCATGAGAGAAAACCACTCATGGGAGTCCCAGAAGATAAAAGAGCAAGGTGCAGAATGCTCATTTAATGAAACAATCATTGAAAATTTCCCAAATTGAATGCAGTTTTGGTATCCAGATACATGAATTATGAAGGTCCATAAACAAAGAGACCTTCAAGATATATTACAAGCAACTCTCAAAAATAAAGTTACATAGTTATTGTATTATTACTATATTCCCTATGCTGTACTTTACATTCCTGTGACTTTTTATAACTGGCCATTTGCACACCTTAATCCTCCCCCTTTTTCATCTATTCCTCTAACTTTCCTACCATCTGGCAGCC